AAACTATGGATTTTATTTAATAATTATGTATCAATATTGGCTCACCAATTGTAAAAAGTACCACACTAATACCAGATGTTAATAATAGGGAAAATTGTGTGCAAGGGAATATATCGGAACTCCGTATCTTCTGCTCAATTTTGCTGTAAGCCTAAAACTATCCTGAAAAGTTAAAGTCTGCTAATTTAAAGACAAACAAACAAATAAAACCTTGCCAAAAGAAAATCTAAGACACGGACTTTATTGGAAAATTCTTCCAGGTATCTCAGGAAGAAATAACTTTAGAACAACTAGAAGCTCAAAACACAAGGAGAATTTGTACTACTTTCATGCTCTTTCCATGGATCTCTAACAGGTGCCCACCCAAAAGAATGGGTGCAAAGAACTGCAGAAAGGCTCCTTTTGTGGCACAGGTGCACAAGAGGAGACAAGCTGCCACTCCAGGACAGGCATAAAAAAACATGCTATCTTGCCTAAACTTTCCATTCATTTGAGGAAAAGGCCTTAAACCCCTGAGGGAAAGCTCAGAAAACATTTCATTCTGAAGACAAGGCAATAATTAATTGTTTCTAGGGTGAGATAGATGCAAAAATGATTTTCCTCATGGGAAGGTTTTTAAAAAAAAAAAAAAAAAAAAACTTCCCTGGGTCCAGGGTCCTACACCAGTACAAAGCAGAGGTGAGCCAGCACTAGCAAAGGTCCGGAATCTCCTTCACCCATTATCAGCCACAGATCCAAGGCAGTTTGGTTGCCAAGGGGAGAAGAGGAAAGAACACTGAGAAAGACCTACTCCCAAGGCACATGGACTGAGACAGAACAGAGAATGCCCGTGCCTACCATGAGCTTAGGACTGAGTAACAATGACATTTCAACTTCTGAGGGCAAGAGCAGAGCATGGAGAGAGACCTGCCTGTGGCACAGGCAAGCAGAGGCCAGTGAAAGCACAGGATGCAGAACTAACACTGAGAAAAACCTTCCAGTATTCCGGGGCCCTTCCTAAGCACAAAGTTACAGGAGCCCACCAAATTTGAAGCCTGTGGGACAATGAAGCTAATGACGGTAATAAAACTCAGGCCCAGCTTGATCCCCAGCTATACTGACTGAAGTTTCCATATGCGGTACACCTCCACACTCCCTTGAACAAAACTGCCAGTCTACCTGACCCAGTCGACATTTGTAGAATATCAAGAGCAGAATGCTCATTCTTTTCAAATGCACATGGAACATTCAACAAGATAAATAACCTGAAGAGCCCTGCATATATTTTTTACTTAAGTTTTTAATACAGAATATGTTCATACCTAGAAAACGCCAGGCCCCAGTGACCTTACTGGAAATTCTACCAAATATGTAAGAAAAAAATAATGTTAATTCTATACAAATTCTTCCAGAAAATAGGAAAGAGGAAACACTTTCCAACCCAATTTATGAGGTCAGCATTACCTGATAACAAAATTAGACAGAGATGTGAAAATAAAACTACGAGCTGGGCAGCCCAGTGGCTCAGGGGTTTAGCGCTGCCTTCAGTCCAGGGCGTGATCCTGGAGACCTGGGATCAGGTCCTGCGTCAGGCTCCCTGCATGGAGCCTGCTTCTCCCTCTGCCTGTCTGTCTCTCTCTCTCTCTCTCTCTCTCTCTCTCTGTCTCTATGAATAAATAAAATCTTAAAAAAAAAACTACAAGCCAATTTTCTTCATGAAAATATTCACAAAATCTTCAACAAAATACTAGCAGATCAAGAAACATATATATATATATATATATATAAAGGATGATGTATCAAAACCACGTGGAATTTATCTCAGGAATGCAAAATTGGTTCAACATTCAAAACCAGTCAGTATCATTTGCCATATCAACACATTTAAAAAAGAAAAAAATCACATGAGTATCTCTAAGGATACAAGGAAAGTATCTAACAAAATTCAACATCCATTCATAATAAAACTCTCAAAAAATGAGGAATAAAAGAAAGAGAGTTTCCTCGACCTAACAGAATACATCTATCTATACACCACTGCAGTGGAGGTTCTAGCCAGTGCAACAAGGCAAAAGGGAAGGGAAGGGGAGGGGAGGGGAGGGGAGGGGAGGGGAGGGGAGGGGAGGGGAGAAATACAAATTGGAAGGAAAAAGTAAAACTGTCTTTATTCACGTAGGACATATGTACTTGGAAAATCCTATGCAATCTACAAAACGTGCTACTATAATTTATAAGTTTAGTGAGATCACAGGATACAAGGTAAATATACGAAAATCAATTATATTTCTGCATACTAACAACAAACTGGAAAATGAAATAAGAACAAAATTGGCATTTATAATGGCATCAAAAAAATAAGTATTTAAGGGAAAATCTAAACAAAGTAAGTGCAAGATTCGTATACTAAACTATCAAACACCGTTGAGACAAAATAAATAGAAATAGAGGTAAAATATCATAGGCAGACTACTCAATACTGTTTACATATCAATTCTCCCAAAATTGGCCTACATATTCAATATAATCCCAATCGAAATCCCAGCAAACTCTTTGTAGTAATTTACAAGATGACTCTAAGCTTTATAGAGAAAAGTAAAGGCTCTAGAATAGCCAAAACAATTTTGAAAAAGAGGAACAAAGTTGGGAAACTATCTGATTTCAACACTTACTATAAGTTTACAAAAATCAAAACAAATAGATCAGTGGAACAGGACAAAAACTCAGAAAGAATCGTGTGTGTTTGTGTGTGTGTGTCCTAAATCAGTTTTCAACAAAGGTGCCAATGCAATTAGTGGAGAAAGGATAGATAGGTATGTCAATCAACAGGTACTGGAAATAAGTGTGGTATTGGACATCTATCTATCTATATCAAAAATACTGACACAAAATGAATCGCAGATCTATATGTAAAAGCTATGACTATAAAACTTCTAGAACCAAACATAGGAGAAAATTTTTGAGGCTCTGCGTTAGACTCAGCTTCACAGGTAGGGCAAAAAAAATACAAATCATAAAAGAAGAAACTGATTTTTAAAAATTGTCATCAAAATAAAAAAAGTTTGCTCTTTGAAAGATCCAGTTAAGGAAATGGAAAGATAAGCCTCAGACTGGCAGAAAATATTTGCAAGACGTGTATCTGATCAAAGATTTCTGTCATATATAAAGAGTCCTTATAATCCAACTATAGGAGAACAAACACAATTTTTTAATAGGCAAAGTATTTACACAAACTACTTGATCAAAGAAGATATTAACCTATGGTAAGATACCTGGTATCATTAGTCAAAAAGAAAATGTAATCAAAGCCATGATGGGATATCATTATGCTCCTACCAGAGGAATGTAATTAATATATGACGTTAACTAGGGGCGCCTGGGTGGCTGGGTGGCTAAGGGTTTGCCTTGGGTTTAGGTCGTGATCCCGGGGTCCTGGGGTCCAGTCCCGCATCAGGCTCCCTGCATGGAGCCTGCATCTCCCTCTGCCTGTGTCTCTGCCTCTCTTTCTGTATTGCTCATGAATAAATAAATAAAATCTTTTAATTAATAAAAACTGACATCGGGCAGCCCTGGTGGCTCAGCGGTTTAGTGTCACCTTCGGCCTAAGGTGTGATCCTAGAGACCTGGAATCGAGTCCCACATTGGGCTTCCTGCATGGAGCCTGCTTCTCCCTCTGCCTGTGTCTCCGCCTCTCTATCTCCCATGAATAAATAAATAAAATTAAAAAAAAAACTGACATCAAGTACTAACAAGGATGCGGAGCAACCGAAACTCTCATAACTGCTGGTGAAAATGCAGAATCGGGGCACCTGTGGGGCTCAGCGGTGGAGCATCTGCCTTCGGCTCAGGTCGTGACCCCAGGGTCCCCGGATCGAGTCCCTGCATCAGGCTCCCCGCGAGGCACCTGCTTCTCCCCCTTCTCCTGCCTCTGCCTCTCTCATGAATAAATAGATAAAATCTTTAAAAAAAGAAAAAGGAAAAAAAAAAAAAAGCACAATCATACGCTGGGAAAGTCCAGCAGGTTCTCATAGAACGAAACATACACTTACACTGCAACTCAGCAATTCCGCTCCTAGATTATTTACCCAAGAGAAAACAAACGTGCAAGCAAAAACCTCTATCAAAATGTGTATGCCCGGGATCCCTGGGGGGCTCAGCGGCTTAGCATCTGCCTTTGGCCCAGGGCGTGACCCTGGGGTCCCAGGATCGAATCCCACGTCGGGCTCCCTGCAGGGAGCCTGCTTCTCCCTCGGCCTGTGTCTCTGCCTCTCTCTCTCTCTCATGAATAAATAAATAAAATATTCTAAAAAAATGTATATGCAAACAAAATGTATATGCCCGCTGCATTCGTGGGCTCTGACCACCCATGACCGCAACCGAAGATGCCCAGCAACCAGCGCACCGGCGGATGACCAGGCCGCGGCACATCCAAACACGAAATACTACTCAGCGGTTAACAAAGGGACAGAACCAGGGAGACCGCCCAAGGGCACTGAGCCAAGTGACCCAAACCAGACACAGTCGCGGCCCTGCGCGACCCCATCTCTGGGCCGTTCGCACACGGGACGGCAAGGCCTCCTGGTCAACCTCGGCATCCAAGGGCCCGAGCACATCAGAGGATACGCCGGGAACCGGATGGAGAGAATGAGGAAGAGGTCTCTGCAGGGGGCTCGGAGGACGAAAAGAAAAGAAAGAAAAGAGAAAAAAAGAAAAGAAAAGAAAAGAAAAAAAAGAAAAAAGAAAAGAGGCAGCTGGGGGTCCGAAGCCACCGAGAGGACGAGGCCCGGGGGGGGGGGGCGGGGGGGGGCAGGGCGCGGCCCAAGCCCGTGGCCGCCGGGGCTCCAGCAGCTCGCAGCCTCAGCGCCCGGGAAGGGCCTCGGCGCCTCCGGCCTGCAGACGCGCGCTGCGCCGCACCCTCCCCGGAAAAGCCAGGACCCCCGGCGCGAGGCCGAGGAGCGCGGCGGGGAGGCCGCCCGCCCCGCCCGCCCCGCCCGCCGCCCGCCGCCCCGCCCGGCCGCACTCACCCAGGCCTGCCGTTCCAGCTGAGCGTACAGAGTGGAGCCCTTGAGCTTCTGCACTATCTGCGCGATCACGAGAGACAGGTCCGACTCCTCCTGCAGCATCGCCCCGGCCCTAGCCCGCCGGGCCGCGGGGACAGGCCGGCTCGGGGCTCCGGCTCGCGGCCGCCTCTCCGCGCCCTCCTGCCGCCGGCGCTGCCGCAGCGGGCGTTGCCAGGCAACCGCCGGGCCGTCGGTCCGTTCCTCTCTGCTCCCCCCCCGCGGCCGCCGAGGGGGCCAGCGCCTGCGTTCCGCTGGGCGGGGAGGGGGGAAAAAAGAAAAAGAAAAAGGGAAAAAAAAAAAAAAAAAGACCTGTCGCGGGGGCGGGGGCGGAGGGAGGTGGTAGCTTTTCATCGCGCTGTTCCCGCCCTGGCGCGCGTCTAGATGGCCCCGAGAGGGGGCTCTCGCGGCAGGCTGCGCGGCCCCTGGTGCCCCGGGAGCTCGGAGGTCGCGGGCTTCCGGTGTCTCGTGAGCCCCGAGGCTCGTCGGCCGCCCGCGGGTCCCCGCGGTCGCTGGGCCGGTGCTCGCGGCTGGGCGGGGAAACGCCGCGGCGGCGCTCGCGCTCGGGCTGGGGCTGGGGCTGGGGCTCGGGCCTTGCAGGCTGCGCTGGTGCGGCCGCCGCAGAAGCGCGGGTTCCCGGGCCGCGGGAACCACGGGGTAGGGGGCTGGCGGGGGGTGGGGGGCGGGGATCAGCCGTTCATTTTCTTTCCGCTCCTCCCGTCCCTGGTCTCCGGGATCCTGGGGCGAGGATGCATCGACACCGTCTTCCCGTCGAGCAGCTACAAGCTAAACCAGGGAGGATTTGTGGATGGGCCGGCGGTTCCAGCAGGACCCCATCGTCCCAGTGCACCGGGCGGGGGGCCGGCCTAGACGCCTCCTCTTCGGTGCATTCATTGATTCAGCGATTTCTCCAAAAGTCATGGAGCTTTCAACTTCTTGAGCATCTGCATACAAGAAGCTGCGTGGGCACAGAGGTAAATGAGACCCGGTTCTTGTGGCTGAGCATCCATCTGCCCTTGGCTCACTCAGGTTGTCCCGCAGCAGGCTCCCCTGCTTCTCCCTCTGCCTCTCTCTCTCTCTCTCTCTCTTTCTCTCTGTGTCTCATGAATGAATAAACAAAATCTTTAAAACAACAACAAAACATGGTTCTTGCCTTCAAAGAAAAACGGATCGAAGGCTTTTAGTAGAACCAGAAGAAGCAGATTTAGCTATTTGAATGGCATTTCCCAGAGGCAGCTAGAAAGATCCCTGTGGAATATTATACGCATTAGAATAACCTCACCAAAATGATCAAGAATTAATTTCAGATGTGTGTGTGCAGATGTTTTAAGCAAAGCGAAGCTAAGATCCCAAGAAAACAGACCAAGATTACTGCAAAAAACTACCCCGCCCTGACTACCTTGAACTTTAAGGTAAGGTTGAATCACATTCTCTGATTCAATAGGCCCCTTGTAGGGCCTGCTAATCTGATTTCTGGCAAGTTCCAAGGAGATTGTGATGCACACCAAAGGACTAAAGCAGGTACATACAGAAATTCTAAAGGACTGGACCTTTGGCACCCATGCACAACACCCTGGCATTCATGATACCACTGTTCAGAGTATTGCAATGGTAAATACAGATTCCAAATAACCCATTTGGTCATGCTTATTTATTAAAAACAACTTTGGAAAGAGGCAGGCAGGAGGAAAAAGGTAATTAAAGGCAATTAATAACATTACACAAAACATGTAGTTTCACTACAAAGCATTCCCCCTACAATTCGGAATTTCTCCAATTTGCAGATGAGTAAATCTCAACCCTTTACAGCCTCTGCATCCCAACACCCCAACCATCCATGAATCTCCAGGACAAGCATCACTTTGAACAATAAAAAGGAAAACTAGGGAGAGAGTTCTTTTGAGATTGGCAGGGTGAAAGTGGTTAATAACTCAAGAGATAAGAATGCTGAAGTTGAGAATGGTCATAAAGTGTAGGGAGGAAAGAAAATGAAACTGTTGAGTGGAAGAAAGCCATGGTACCTGGAGTCAAAATGGCCTACCTCCTGTTCTGCTATGTAGCCTTGGGACCCTTCCCCTGTCAGAGTTTCAGCTTTCTCATCTGTAACAAGAGGTTAAAATACTGACCGGAGGGGACACTCTGAGGACAGATGTGCCTTGTGTTAAATATTTTAAAATATGAATAAATGAAATATTAAAATTGTGATAAATAAATAAAAATAATGTCCAATGCTATTGACAAGGGAATGGAAAGTAAATAAATGTAGCAACGTGTGTGAATGTGGCCAGCACAATTTTTTTTTTCCATAGGTAGAGGCTTTAAAAGCTTTTTCTAAGGAGAAAACAATTTGCAGTCTTACAGCAACAATTAGGAAGTTTATATTTGATTCTGAAGACATGCCCAAGCAAAAATAAAAATTCTGAATCCTAATATTAAAGATTTGTTTCTTACACACATAGAAGCAGGTGTGTTATGTTATAATTCAATGTTAGAATGCCCTCTGTTCTCTTTTTCCAATTCAATTTAGCAAAACTTTTCAGAACACCTGCTCTGTGTGAAGAAAGGCAAGGAATACAGAAAAAGTGAGGAAATTTCTTTTTCCTAAGAAATCTCAGTCTCAAAGGAATAGTGAAACCAGTATACAAAGAGATGGTAGATGGGCTTCTTTAGACTTCCACCTGTATATTTGGAAATTTTATTACTCTAAAGTCATTGTCCCAGGGGCACCTGGGTGGCTCAGTGGTTGAGCATCTACCTTTGGCTCAGATGATGATCCTGGGGTCTGGGATCGAGTCCCGCATCGGGCTCCCTGTGTGGAGCATGCTTCTCCCTCTGCCTGGGTCTCCGCCTCTGTGTGTCTCTCATGAATAAATAAATACAATCTTGTACACACAGAGAGTGGCGGAGACCCAGGCAGAGGGAGAAGCAGGCTCCACGCAGGGAGCCAGATGTGGGACTCCTTCCCAGGACTCCTGGATCACGCCCTGGGCCGAAGGTGGCGCTAAACCGCTGAGCCACCCAGGGATCCCCTAAATACAATCTTTTCAAAAGAATAAAGTCATTGTCGTATAAGAAACAAAAGGTGCAGAGTTCCATCTCCATCTCACAAGGAGAACTTTGCGTTGGAAATCCTTATTCTACTCAGAATGGGCGGGAACTGGGGAAACGCTCCATTTCTGATATTTTAGAGTGAACCATGACCCCACCTAACAGATGAATAGCAAAAGGAATTTAAAACCCAATCTCAAAAAATAAAAAAAAATAAAACCCAATCTCATCTGAGTAGCTGAAACTACACAAACAGAAACAAAAGTAAAAATAAGTTCAAGGAACATTCTCCTCCAAATCCTCTCAAATTCAAAGCAAGGCACCTCTGGGCCAACATGCGTAAGGTTCTGGGCTGAATCTTGCCTTTCTCGGATCTGCTCTGCTTTGATTTATTTTATATATAATATTGTGTCAGATTTCACTGTGGGTGAGAGGGTGGGGGGAAAAGCACTGACCAGGGGCCTCACATGAACAAAGATGAGGACCACATCAAAAACACCCTGTGAGCTCACACAAAACTTAGGTTTGCATAAACTCTACAATCTACAACAGGTTCAACTGTTGTTTCAGGAGACGCTGCTGTTAGCACGCTGTATCTGAAGAATAGGTTGAACTGTATGTTGTCATGAGTTTACTTAAAATAAATAAGAAGTACTTTGTACGTTGTGTGTACCACCAATGGCATAGGCCTCCTTGTCTTTGGGAACAAACGAATCCATTGTGATACGGGTGACCTGTCCCTGGATAGTTAGCCCCCATTTGCCAGCACAGGACCTCAGGCTCCTCATCAAAGTCTCTTCCTGTTACTTCTGAGAGTCCTCAGGAAGTGGCACGACTGTGCTGAGGAGCAAATGTGGTTGTGATCTGCTTTGCCTGCTCTGGTGATATCTGAGGCCTCACAGCTACTGTCCAGGGTGCTGCTTTTTCATATTCACAAAAACCCAGAGATGCTTGAATCCCAAAGGCTCGCAAAACCCCTCAAGAACAAAGTCCCTTATGGTTCTGCTTGCCACCTCTCTTTACAAGGTGGTCAGATGTCCTTTCTGAGCCCAAGCTGAATATCAGACCATGCTATTGGAGGGGAACAGATTTTGCTACCCCAATATATGTCTCTTTGGCATAATGATTACTTTGAGCTAAAGGCATTTAAAACCCAACAGATTCAGGAAAAGTTCTTTACTCAACTGCTTACATTTTTTTAAGATTTTATTTATTTATTCATGAGAGACACAGAGAGAGTGGCAGAGACACAGGCAGAGGGAGAAGCAGGCTCCCTGCAGGGAGCCCAATGTGGGGGATTCGATCCGATCCCCAGACCCTGCGATCATACCCTGAGGTAAAGCCTCAACCATTCAGCCACCCAGGCATCCCTCAATTGCTTAAATTATATAGGAAAGGGGATGGATACCAGGAAGAGAGCTATTACCAAAGATATCATTTTCCCTAAGAATTTCATCTGCATAAGAAGGCAACCTTTGCTTCCTAAACATCTTTGCCTTCCTGTGAATGGTATTCTCTCCTTTGTATCCCCAAACACCTACACCTTTCCTTAGCTCAGGCTGTTAAATAAGCCTCAATTGACTAGTTGACCTTTGAGTCTTCGCATCTAGTTGGGGGCTCCCCTATCCATGAAATTTTGTTTGTTTTTCTCCTATTAATCTATCTTATATTAGTTTAATCATTAGGCCAACCAAAGAACTGAGAATGGAAGAGGAATATTTTTTCTGCCCTCCACTATACTCCATTTCTCCATCTTTCCTGTCTCTGGCCCCAGGCAGTTATGCATAAAGGGAGAAGATTGGGCTATTGTTTCCATGAACAATCTCAGGGACTGTGTTGGTTTCATGTTAAACATAAAACTCCTGGGAAAAATCCAAGTAACAGTGGTTTAAATCAGAGGATATTTATTATTACCAATAGGTCCAAAGGAGGGTACAAAGGCTGATTTAACACCTCCACAACATCATCAAAATTGAAGCTCCTTCCTTCTTTTCCATTCTGGCCTCCTTAGCATGTTGGCCTTCACCATTCAGCTTACTGTCTTAAGGTGGCTGCTGCAGTTCTAAATATGACATTCTTCTACTGCTGCCTACAAAGGGAGGCAGGAA